AAAAAAAATAAAAATAAACTTTGCAAAGTGTGTGGAACATTTTATGTAACGTTCCCAGCAGGGTATGGAGCAGCACCCTGTAATTAAGCACATTAATTATTTTATTTATTTATTTATTTATTTATGTGAGTGTGTGTGGCCAGCTCAGCCCACCAGGGGGCGGGGCTGGCTGGCATGTGGTGCTGGGGGATTGAACCATGGTCCCTGTGATTTGCCAAGCTCGTTCTAAGTAGGTGTTTTAGACCACTGAGCCATCTCACCAGCCCCAAGCATATTAATTATTTCTGTAGCAAAACATGAATATTCACATGTAGGGGAATGAACCAGCACTATAAATAGCCTTGTATTCATTCAGGTCACATTTTGCCACCCCATGAGTTATGAAAAAGCTTTTGGTTTACAGAGCTTTATGGATTTTGGAATTGGATTGTGGCCTTATAACTCTTTATAACACCAGGACTTTCCATGATGATAACAGTCTATCAAAATACAGATCTAGGGGGCTGGTGAGATAGCTCAGTGGTCTAAAGCACCTGCTTAGGCAGGCTTAGGCAAGCACGCAGGGACCTCGGTTTGATCCCCAGCACCACGTGTCATGCCAGCCCCGCCCCCAGGGTAGACTGAGCTGACCATTAAAAAAAAGAGAAAAAGAAAAAAAGAAATAAAGGAAACATTAAAAAAAAAAAAACAAAAAAAAACAGATCTACATTGTAAGTACACAAACAAAATCAGGATATATATAAGCCAAAGGAAAAATGTGATGAACACTGTCCTATGGTTATTAATCTGACACCTCACAACTAATTTTATTCAGTTTCCTGCTACCTCTGCACTCCCTCTTTGAACAGAACTGATTCAATTATGGTCCATTAAAAGGCAGCTAAGTTGCTATATAAAATTTGGTAATTATTACATGGAGTAATAAACTAGTAAAGTCACCAGGCATGGTGGTAAATTCCTGTAATCCCACCACTTAGGAGGCTGAGGTGGAGGATCGCCACAAATTCAAGGCCAGCCTGAACTATATGGCAAGACCCTGCCTTAAAGAAAAAAAAAAACTAGTAGTATTTAAATTTATATGGGCCAGGGAGATAGCTCAGCAGACTAAGC